GAATGAAGAAACAAAGATAAACAGCTGACTTCAAGCAACTAAATCACGTCAATCTCAAATAATATGTCATAACTCCAGAGTCTGAAATATTACCACTCCAGGAAATCAGAATCTTGGCCAGTATTTTATTCTACTATACTTGAAAACTTCAATAAATCAGATACACAAGACTTATCAAACATCGTGATGTGTAGGGTTTTGTCAACTTTTTCAGGACAATTGGAAGTAACTAAAGCCAGCTCTCATTTTGGATTGATGAAAAACAAACCTCTAATAAAACCTCTATTAGGTTTTATTGCTGCCTCTGTTACTGTTGGGGAGATAAGTTCTAGATTCCTGTCCCACTTACATCCGTTATACTCTGGAACCCTACAGTCTCAGGTCAGGAAGTGAGGGTAAATCTACTCCAGCAAGGACACATCCAGCAATAAAACCCAGCAAGAGATCTAACCCATCTCCATTCTGCTAAAAATTGTGTTTTATTGCTGTCTTTGTCTCTATTGGAAAAAACACTTCTATAAATGGAAAATAGTACCACTCACAAACCTCAATAAGGGGTGCTGGTTCAACAATTGAGCTTGTTGGGAGGATACAGGCAAAGTCTCAACCATCTAAATCAATAAAGGTTCTTGATATCGCAGGAGAAATGCAGTATGTAGTTATGTTTCTTTATTGTAGCAGTAAAGACCTGAATATGAAATAAGTAGATAGGTAGATAGATAGATAGATAGATAGATAGATAGATAGATAGATAGATAGATAGATAGATAGATAGATAAAGCTTCTCCAGCCCGGAAGGAGCCGCTTCAAAAGACGGGAGGAAACCCCTTCTGTGCCGCCCACTCAACTGTTGTTGGGTAATTTCCTGACCGCAACTTGATGTAAGAAATGGCTCTGATAACGCAACTCAGGAAACAGGAATATTCTATAAATGGGTATCCAGGAAGTAACCTAAAGCATAAACAATTTAAAGAAGCACCAGACAAAATGGTATAAGAGTCCAAGGGGTTGATTTACTAACCTTATAAACACACCACGAACATGTATACACCTCTGTAGTGTGTTCCCTCCCAGCATGATCTATGGGTGGAATCTAAACACCTTTGTAGTGTGTACACACCCAGCAGGTGTGTTGTGCAAAGCCAAGCATGAATTGCAAGGTGATGTTGTGTAAATTAGCTCTATGTTGTGTTGCTTGCGTTGATGAATGCAGGAATGTAAATGCATGAGCTAACCATTTTTGTCTAAACTGTGAAGCAGCATTATATATGCATCATGTGCATGCTTTTTCCATATATGGCATTAGTGGAAATATGCTTTTAGAGACTTTTTGGTTGAAAAATATGTTTTGCTGTGTGAAAATCACACGCACCTGGTGCGTGCGTGTGTTTAGGTTAGTAAATCACCCCCCAAATCTCTTTAATGGTTCACATATAAAACATCCACTGCATTTCGGGGCCAACCCACTCTTCTTTATCAGGGATTAAGGTCAAATCAGAACTTTAAATGGAATCAAGTGCAGGCTTTACTATATTGATCAGTTTCCAGATGCGCCAGTGTTAGTGGCAATAGCACCCCTTTCTTATTGTTTTAAGGCAGCCCTAACCTGGCATTGTGTTGCAAGGTAACAGGTGGAACAAAGGGCAAGTGCTAAACCAGCATTGTGAGTTTGGAGCTGTATTATCAATATACCAAAAAATACTGTTTTGAAAGAGCAATTAGTAAATTCAATACATTTTCTTAATTTAATAGGAGTGTCCCAATAAATCTTTGGCATAAATAGGGCACACTGCACAGATTTAGGGGACCTTAAGCTATGTTATATTATTTATATGTTTTCAGTAATTATAACAGAGATCATCAGTATTTAAAATTCATATCCTTGTATACATTTATGAATCCTTTATCCGTCAATCATCAATAGTTTTGGTAAAAGGGATATGAGAAATACCGCATGCTAAATTCTTGGTGTTTGGGGTATTAGTTGGGGGAAAATAAAGCTATATTATAATATGATACACCAGGTCCAAACAGAGCTGAACTGTGACATCATAGAACCCTGGGCACAGATGAAAGGTGATGCCCTTTTGCGTTGGCTTTGCCCATTTTGTCATGTGATTATTATAATAAAAACTCATATTAAAATGCTCTACTGGTCACAGCATGTAGTTTATTTCATGTGCAATGCTACATGTATCTGTACAGATCAATAATGAAGAAAAAGGAAAGATGACTTCATGTTTGCTGAAATGCAAAGATTTGCTGCCTTGAGGAAGGGACCCTGTGAAGTGGCCCTCAAAAGTTGCCTCTATCTGACTGATGGTGTTTTGTTTCATGAATACATGTTGAAGAGTGTCACTGGAGTTGTGGTGATGTTCCATGGGTGGGCAATCTCGGCACTCCAGCTGAACTACAAGTCCCATGGGACAATGCAAGATTCTGACAGGCACATGCATGGCTCCCAGATGCAGAGGTGTGATAAGATTTGTAATTTTCGGCACTGCTGGAGTGCTAAAGTTCCCTACAACTGGTATACTTCTTTCTAAGCTTTTGCAAGGTGCCATCAGTTGCAGTCAATTAAACCCTGTAAGGAGTACATCTGAGTACATCTGAGTACATCTTGTGTGAGGCTCACCGATCAATCCACTAATAACTCTTACAACATATTTTAACGTTGAGTTAAGCTTATTCAATATCAGTGCAAGAGGCAATGCAAATGTGCAAAGTACAAAAGCCCTATTATGTTTTGGTATACTTTAGTCAGGGTAGTAAAAGATGAATTTCAGTTCTTGGTGACCTGATAACCAAAATCCAGATATAAATTAATCAAAAATGCTTTTTAAAGTGACACTAAATTCAGGAGTTAAATCTTAAAAATGCATTTGAGCACCTTAACTATTAACGAAAATGTATCTTATTTGTGTATCACTTGGCTGTAGATCCTCAAATCCTCTCTGAATTGGTGCTGACACTGTCCTTCCTTCTAGAGGGTGGCTATGTTTGTTCCCCATGGTCCTTGTGTGTGTTGTAAAGTAGCCACCGCTCCAAGCTCACTCCCCTGATGGACTACAATCTCAATACAATCTAGAAAATTGAATCTGAGATTGTAGTCCATCACGAGAGTGAGCTTAGAGGGTGGCTACTTTTGTTCCCCATGGTCCCTGTGTGTGTATGTTGTAAAGTAGCCACCCTCCAGAAGGAAGGACAGTGTCAGCACCAATTCAGAGATAATTGGAGGATCTACAAACAAGATACATGTTGTTAATAGTTAAGGTACTTGAATGGATTTTTAAGATTTATTTCCTAAGTTTAGTGTCACTTTAATTGATATTGAGATGGCTTCAATTTTCAACGTGATTTGAAATTCAGTCTTTTGTTTATTAAATTGAAACCAACTCAGTACCTGTTTCCTGATATAAAACAATTTGAGAATTCAAACTTTGAACTGTCTAGTTGTTTTGAAATCGAATGTAAGCGAATGGAGCCATGGTTGGACCGTTAGATTTCATTAGATTTTCTTTTATAAAATGGTATGTATATGACCAGCTTGAAGTAGATAGGAACATTTCCATCCAGATGACTGGAGTGCCACAATTTTTCTATCCATCTCCTGCCATTTGAATGTAGCACATGCATGAAAAAACAATGATTCCATTCTCTACAGGAGGCTTATAAGCTGCAGATATTTCCCATCAGGCTGGCACAACCATGCAAATCTTCAAGTACTTTTAAACCATTCTATGTTCATTACTACAAAATCAACTCTTGCCTGTTAATAAATGATGATGCTGAATTTGCTTCCTACATTGCAGCCCTCTGGGCTGGGAACGACTTAGCACAGTTAAAGCAGAAATATGGCAGCTGCTGACCTCCTTCTGAAAATACTGGTTGCCTGGCTGTTAAACTGATCAACTGACTTCCATACATTCTGAGCCACTGACAAGGAACAAGAATGGAGATCAGGAGAGTTAGAGAAGGCCTTATCTGTAGACTAGTTTCAGGTTATTGATTCAAAGTATTAAAGCAAGAGGGTCAGTATGCCTGCTAGGCAACATGCATTGTCAAAAATAAAGGTCCTCAGTGGCCAGCCTCCATGACTCTCACATGACAGGTCGCCTTTAAAACTGTTTTAAAATGCTGCAAGCACTATTTTGATCGCACTGGACCGGACCACAGACATAATGTGCCTTGCGATCCCGTGCAGCCGATCGCATTGCGGCTGGAGGGCGTGTCTACGGTGCCATTCACTTCAATGGCCCGCCACGCCCCCTCCTGCCCCACAAAAAAGTGAGCCGGACGCAATGCAAGGCAGTGCGTTCTGGCCAGAATCGGGCCGGAGCGCGCTGCATCTGGTGTGAACGGGCCCTGAAGGTCTCCCTGGCTCCATTTTGTCTCATCAGGAATTGATTTTTAACTTGAAGCATCATTTCCTGTTTAGGAGACCAGTCACCCCAGCTGACTATCTGTGTGGTGGATGACTGATTTTCTCCATGCCTCCCACTGGTTCCGCAGGGTTCTGAAGGGTGTGTCTACATGATGTAGGTTGCCTGCTGTTTCTACCTCCCCGCCTGTCTGGACAGCAAAGGTCCTGAAACCAGGTAGAGCCAGGTGATGATGTCACTAGACAAAGAATATTTCCTTTTCCCCGATGGGAGAAAGGTAAGTAACAAAGTAGGGGGGCATTTTAGAGGGGTGATGGAAGCATACAAAAAGCCTTGCCCCCCGATTGGCTTCAAGGCCTCCATAGGTAAACTTAGTGATTACCATGACTTCTACAGATCTTCAACCGATTTCAAACATTTCATTAACCCTTACCTCAACACAGGATCCTGAGCTGATTAAGGATTGATGAAAGCACATAAGGGAATTATTATTTTGTGGAACACGGACACAGATTCTTTGGCTCAACTACAAAAATCTAAAAGCCAAGCTGATCATTATCAAAGAAGCAGCAGAAACAGAATGTTCAATAAATTCAGATGAACGTGGATTCTCCTTACCTGCTTGGTGCAGATGATGGTGCTGAAAGCTCTGCTGATGGAGGGATCCCTGACACAGTAAAAACATCCAGGCACTTATCCACAAGTAGACGACCCAAGACATTGCCCAGAGCATCGCCATTCTCTAAAGGAAGCACAGGCAAGAGTTATGATCCTGACCCTCCACTTAAGAGAGCTTCTTAATTGTAACCATTTGCAATATGTATGAAATGACCGGGCGCGCTGCATGTGTCTGGTGCACATTACAACATAAAGGTTAAGAACATACAGACAGCCCGGGAACAAGGCGAGCCAGCAGGGAAAACTAAACCATTCATCGGGGCAAATAGCATTCTTAGAAACTATAATTTTAAGTCATCCATTTCTGACCTCAAATAAATGAGCTTCTGAGTTTACAGTAGCCCTGTAAGTTCTCAGCTATTTATGTGTATGTCTGTGTATGCGTCTGTCTACATCAGGGGTAGGCAACGTCAGCACTCCAGCTGTTGTGGAACTACAAGTCCCATGAGGCATTGCAAGAGTCTGACAGCCAGAGGCAAAGGCATGATGGGATGTGTAGCTTCACCACAGCTGTTCAGCCCTGATCTACATTAATATCATTTTTAGAATACAAGTTTATTACCATCATATGCTTCAGTTATGATATAGCCTCTATATCCTTGGTGCCCATCCTGTGGCTCAGGGGGACGTATGCTGCCCTTTGGCACTCATTGGGGCCCCTGTGTTTTCCTTACTGAGGTGCTTATTCAGTCCAGTAAAGGAAACATATTCTTTAGACAGGCTTCTAGTAGTTAAATGGTTTGGATTGTCCCTTTCACACTATCTTACTTTTTTCTGAATTGTCCATGCAGCATATCATATATGGCATTTTTAGGGGGACTGTAGAGAACGCAAATTTAGAAGCATTGATTTCTAAAGGGGGTTTAATAGCCATGGTCTCAAGCAGTCTTATGTAATGTGCCTCCACTCTACCGCTGTGTCTTGAAGCATGTCCTTAGTTCCCAAAACTCCTACTCATGCCTTCAGTCTCTGATTATCTCTTGTATCATGCCTGTAGTCTTTGACATCTCCTGTTGCATGTCTGCAGTCTCTGATGATCTCTTGTATCATGTCTGTAGTCTTTGACATCTCCTGTTGCATGTCTGCAGTCTCTGATGATCTCTTGTATCATGCCTGTAGTCTTTGACATCTCCTGTTGCATGTCTGTAGTCTCTAACTATCTACTGGACCATGCCTATAGCCTTTAACCATCTCCTAAAGAGCATCTGCAGTCTCTGATCGCTGTCTTTACTATTATGTTCACTGAATATGGTGATTGGTGATGTCAGGGGCCACACTTGAGCCCCCCTATGTCATGTAAGTTAACCACCACAGCTTTTCATTATTGGTATCTCAGTTACATCCTATCACACCAACATTAACATGGAGCTAAACCCTAACTGTAATTCTTTCAGACACTTCCTGTCTACATATTCTGTTGTGTCAGCTTCACATCATTGCTCAGGACCAGCTTCTAGGTTGACCATGCCTGCATGAAGTTTGTCAGCTCAGCGACTTGCAGCCTCCACAAGGGGTGCATGTGACAAGGTGGCAATGCAGTTGTCACCATATAACAGGAAGTGGCTGAACATGGACCTAAATGGCAGAAATTCCCGGTATTCATTCAAAGAAAACTCTATTTTTTAAAACAAGACTGAAAACAACCTCCGAAATTAAATAAAAATGTTGTACGTCTATTGGAGGTAAGTAATTGGGTTTAGATCTACTTTAATATCTTATGTAGTATATAGATTCAATATAATATCCTACACTCATGATAGAACCTATATTGTTTGAATAATTTCTAACCTAGTTAATTCTTATTGCAATAACATTAAAACAAGCATATAGTCTTGAAAGCATGGAAGTAACTTTGCAAATATGTATCACCCCTATTAACATATTGTACAGGCT